GCATTTGTACAGCCTGAAAGACATCGACCGCAACGAGCAGAGGAGGGTGACCAACCACACCGCTCGCCGGCAGCCAGGGTTGGGCAGTAGAGGATTGCAGGGGAGTGGGTTGAGGGAGGTCGCAGCTGCCGGATGTGAGGGCGGCGGGATGATGTCGACACAGCACCTGTCTCTTATACACATCTAGATGTGTATAAGAGACAGCACAGAGAGAGACACACACAGAGAGAGAGCGAGAGAGAGAGAGAGAGAGAGAGAGAGAGAGAGAGAGAGAGAGAGAGAGAGAGAGAGAGAGAGAGAGAGAGAGAGAGGAGTAGGAGGAGGCAGGGAGGGATAGGCTTTGTAGTGAGAGGGGGATTGGGACCAGAAGGAGAGTTTGTGAGGTCGGGATGATGACGGAGAGCCTGGATGTTGAGATGGAGGCGTGAAAGACAACGGGATATGGTGCCAGGTAAGGACGGTGTGTTGGCACGAATGGTGCCGTCTTCGGCCGAATACAAGGTACACTTATGATGACTGTATTGTACAAGAAATATAGTTTGTATACATTTCTGATTTGGGTACGTTGTATTCTGGCTAGAGAGTCGTGCCATCACGTTTGTCAGGATGTAGGCATTCGTGGGAGGAGGTAAATGTGATGTCTCGCCTGCCGTCTTCGCCCGAATAATAGCATACCCTCGTCGTTGCCAGTGGATGTATACAAGCTATCTTTCCGTTTCAACAAGTCCTGCGAAAAACGTCAAGGCTACTCGACAGGCCCCGTAGACATCACAAGGATGAAAGCAGGGGGGTGGGGTTGGGATGAGCAGGACACCCCAATCCCAACCTCGATCCTTGTATGGAGTGGCGGGGCGGTGGCATAGGGTCAAACAGTGGAAAAAATGGAATGGAACGGCCGATAAAAAAAGAGAAAAAAAATCAAAAAGAAAAAAAAGAGAAAAAAAATCAAAAAGAAAAAAAAGAGAAAAAAAAATCAAAAAGAAAAAAAAGAGAAAAAAAATCAAAAAGAAAAAAAAGAGAGACCGAAAGATCGGTTGCTGTCAATGGACCTCGCTACTACACAGCATTCTTAATGGATTGGACATCGTCCGGATCCAGATACATTTGCACAGATCCGACATTTTGAATGCATAGGCACCAGAACGAGATCCAGGTACATTTAGAATGTTGTGCAGTGGATCCCGGCGCAATGACTGCAGTGTGCTAAGGACTGCTTTATCCCGCATCCCAATCCCGATTGAGATAAGTCTGACAGGATGAGGAGGGCATTCATGTGACAATTGGCAGAAGAGCGGGGATTGGTAGGTAGATGGCGACGAGGGAGAAGTGGGTAAGGGTGGATCAGGAGATGGCCACGTCAGCATCGTACTCAGCGACTGCCTCCTTTTCTTGCTCTCCTCCTCCTCCTCCTCCTGCTCTTCTCCTCCTCTCCTCCTCTTTTTCTTCTCCTCTGTCAATATATCACCAGTTCCTGTAGGGGATGAAAACATTTGAAGTGGCCAGGTGGGCAAATCCCAAACGGAACGGACACAACGACCTCTGCCTAACGGAAAGGGCGAGAGAGGTAACGGTTCTCTGCCTGTGTACAACGCCCAGCGCGATGTCTCAGTCCGGCAGAGACTCATGCTTGTGCTCCACATGCTTGTGGAAATTCTGGGCAATCGCGTAATAGCCAGGAGAGGCTCCACAAAGTCCGCATACCGCAATGGCCATGGCTATTATGAGAGTCCCTTCATTTCAGACTTTACAAAACGGAAGCCTAGGTGCATTTTTCTGTCGAAATACATGTAGCGAAATGCTTAGCAAAAGAGAGAGCCTCCATGGCCTGTTACGTAAGGGAACCAATATAGAGGTCCGCAACCTGCTCACCGCACCGCATAGCAGTCCGGGCCGGGGCCCCGAACTGGGTGAGTCCAGCAGCAGGGATGTGCCCATCTGTTTCTGTTTAGCAAAGTGTTAGGGAATAGGGTGGAAGGCAGTGGAAGGCAGGGGCTCTTTCTTCGGATGCATAACACTTGTTTGTATCTGCTTGGAGCAGGCACCCTACAGGAGCTCAGGGTGAAGTCTTAGAGGTGAGGAGGGATTCTTAGTAGGCATAAAGGGCTACAAGATGACCACCCAATCTCAGTGAGCTCAGCTCATTGACAACTATTCTGATGTATTGCTCAATTTTCCTCATGTGCACAAGGGATGCTGGACCAATCTTCCAGCAGGTGATGCTCCCCACCAATAAATGGAGCGGCCAGCAATAGACTTATTATGGGGGGCTCTGCTCATATCACCTCCCCCTAGGAGGGCCACCCTGGCCTTGTTTTTTTTTTTCGTTCTTTCAAAAAAAAAGAAAACAAGGAGTAGAGAGGAGCCTCGACTCACCTTGCGAATTTCCACAAAGTAAGCATGGGCAGCACACGCGTTAGAAACAAACAGAATGTGAGAGGAGGTCCCCACTGCCTGGCCGTAGCTTGGGGCCTGGAAAACTTCCGCCAAGCCAAATCGTAGCGCCCCCCTGCCGGTGAGAAAGCGAAGATGGGAAGAAACCGGAATTTCAGAGCAGCACTAACTTCAGCAGCTCACGGGCCTAGCTGGGTTGGTATACCCCTCAACTGGTGAAATATGAATCAGACCCAAGTTCGAATCCAGATGCAATTAGATGAACAGAGTAAAATAATTCTGAATGACCTGGGGCTGGTCAGCTCAGCCTGAGTGGTGACAATTTTCGGCAGGTCCATCGCTGCGAGCTACGCGATAAGGAAAAAAACTTGTGTACAGAAAATAGGCCTCCCCTTGTTGTGTTCCCCATCCGAGCCCTGGGTATCCCCTTCCGTATGCAATTACAAAAACGAGAGGGGTGGCTCCTTGCCCTACTCCCTACGGATGGCCATTACTGTCGGTAATGGATGATGACCAAAACGAGAGGGGTGCCCCATCGCCCCTACTCCGTCGGGATGGCCATTACTGTTGGTAATGGGCAAACAGAACTGAGTGAAAACATCAGGCATTTTGGTCACTAACCGTGGAAGCATGTGGAATCTTGAAAAATGTCTTCGAGAGATTTGGCGCAAGGCAGTGGGGTCCACCTCTAATGTCCTATTTTCCTGGATGTACCCCACCGAAATCTTGTCAAGACAGCAGTAAAAAAAAAATTAAGCCAGTATTGTGAGAGTATGCCCTATGTCTGACTGAAATCAGTGCTTGGCCAAGAAAAAGTAAATCAAATCAGAACAAAAAGGAACTCTAAACTGAACAAAGCTGCGGAATTGGGCAAAATTCAGAACAACGTTATCCCATAAGAATTACCATGAAAATGAAGAAAGCATGCCTCCTCATATTAGATAGATCTTCCTACAGGAACATCTATAGTAGATTCAGCTACCTGCGACAAATCTACGAGGGGGAGAGGCACGTTCAAGCAGCAGGCTGTGACATCTTATTATTCCGACCCTGTGGAGCACACATGGCACATGACGATTATGCAGTTCATTGTTGAGAGTGGAGTGTTGTTCAAAAGCTTCAAACATATGTTTGAGATTAACATCCCACCAGGGGACTTTGTTCATGGGGCACCTACGCCCAAGCCGCCCACATACCACATGATCCGCACAACCCTTTTGAATGAGCTTGACGTGGAGGTCCAAAAGTGCATGAAGCCAATCCTTAGCACTTCCACACATAGTGGATGCACAATCATAATTGATGGATGGACCAACATCCGCAGTCAAATGGTGTGCAACTACCTGGTTGGGACGAAGAGAGGGGCTGCGTACATTGCCACAGATGTCATGCGAGGGAAGAAGGACGCCACATGTTTGGCAAATTTGTGGTTGAAGAGATTGAAAAACATTGATATTCCAACGAGGGATATCACTGCATTCGTCACTGATATTACTGTTGTGAACCTGGTTGCTATGAATGTTTTTGAGCAAGATGAGAGTGTCAAGCACATCTTTTGGATTCCTTCTGGGGTGCATGTGATGAATCTCATCCTTGAGGACATTGGAGGGATAGATTCGGTGGCCACCCGTATTTCACAGGCAGGACTGGTTACCAAGTTTTTCAAGTGCCACAGTTTTGCACGAGAGTTGTTGGAGGGTTTCACGAAAACGCAATTGGTGTTGCCTACGGAGACCTGCTTCGGCACAAACATTATCATGATGAGGAGACTTATCGAGGTGCAGTCGAATCTGGTTGATGTCATTGTCGACAGTCGATGGCGTGATGCTGTTTGGGGGACTCGTACGATTCGCGAGGAAGCTGCAGAGGTGATGTTGTATGTGGGGTCTCCTCCGTGGTGGGAAAATTTGAGAGCTTTATGCAAGATGCTGGATCCCATCATGGAAATGTTGCAGATGTTTGATTGTGATAAGCAACAAATAAACAAGATTTTCCGCAGGTATGAGACCATGACCGCCAGTTGCTTATCTGCCCCGGGTGCTCTTGAGGAGGTGCAGCAGAAGGACTTCCTAGAAGTTTTTGACAAGTACCATAATATGTTCAAGACGCCCGCTCACATTGCTGCTATGATGTTAGATCCGGAGTTTCGAGACCCCACACTCGTGGATGATGACGAGATACAACGTCTGATTCTTGCTTTGGTGACGTTTGGCTATCCTGAGGGATCAGAGCAGCACAAGGATGTCCTCACCGCCATTGACAAGTTTCATGTTGCGGAACCTCCATTTGATCTCGTATCAGTGGAACGGGCCCTGAGGAGCTATAGCGATCTAGCGAGTTTTTGGGCCTCCAAAGAGGCGCGTTTCCCACACGCGGCACACTTCGCTGTAAGGGTCCTTCACATATGGGCGACTGCGTCATCTTGCGAGAGACCTTGGTCTCAAAGGAGCTTCATGCGTTCCAAGTCCTGGAACAGGCTGGAGGTTGCACGAGCCGAAACGCTGATGAGGTGCAATTGGAACCTGCACCTTTTGGACAAACCCTTGTTGTCTGATGATGCTCCTCCTCAGAGACCCGATGCGTTCACGAAGTTTACACTTTTTTAGCAGCATCTGGAGGATGAGTGAATGAGATCCAACGAGGGAGAGAGAAGATGTGCATGGTGCCCCACATGGGAGCCGTGCGTCACTGACAAGAGTTCTACAGGAGGTGGCGGTATTGGTCAGGGTGGACGTCACATGTGTGGAGGTTGAGGACGTCAGGGAGGTGAAGGTGTTCGAGGCGTGGAGGTCGAGGACGTCAAGGACGTGGAGGTTTGGGGTTGGGAGATCTATTGTGCGCACGAGGTCAGGGAGTCGTAAAGTACAAGGGACAATTTTGTCCAGAACCCTCAACGTTGTTGGGACGAGGGAAGCTTCTTATATGAGAGTTGCTCGGGTGATGATGATGATTTTCTTGGATGGTGCATATGCGGAGGGTGACTCGCCTGGCAGTGACACTAACTCGAGTGACCATAAGAACGAGGATTAAGACTACTCTGTGGCAGATGATGGCGGATTATGCGGGGGCGAGATAGTAGGAGACGCGGAGGGGTCACCACTATCGCAAGCAGCGAGGACCGCCAACGTGTCCAACACTTCTATGATGCTGCGTTTGCCTGAAACAGGAGCACCAAGGGAGATGAGTCCGCTGCTTTTTGCTCGGCCACCTCCTCCTACTCGACCATTGCATAGGGATGTTGAGTTGTGATGGAGTCCATTCAGGTAAGAGAAGCGGACGCACACAGGTTGGAAGATGGGGAGATTATGCGGTCTTCAATTGGTTGCATGGCACCACCTCCACCTATTGCGAGAGTGTGTGGCGCGTTAGTCGTTACAGGGGATGCTATTGATGAGAGGTTGGAGGGGGATGTCGTCGGGACTTAGTCGAATTGCAATGGTCCACCTAGGTTGACCACTTACATTAACAAGCAGATGGTGCCGTTTGGCATGCATGTTGCGGGAGGAAAGGTGGTACATGAGCACATGGAGGATGACCAGGTGATAGCGATTTCCCTCTGTGCTCAAAGTGCATATATCTCTCATGCCCTGTCGACAGGCTACCGGACATCGGCGAGCTGAGTGATTGAGAGGGGATTCAACGTGGGTCGCCTTTGAAAGATTCAACACGTGTTGAATCTCCGTTAAAACCGCGATTAAACGCGGTTTGAATGGGAATTAACGCCACTTGTGAATTGCTGTGGGGGCTGTTTGAGGGCGGGTTGGGTCTGTTTGGGGTCGGGGGAGTGTGCAAGGGGCAGTTGCACACCCCCGTATGTACTAACTTTTCTTTTATCTAAAAACAAAAAGGGAAAAAGGGCGTCGAGGTTGAAAAACTGCCTGCTTCCGGGCTGCGTTTCGCTCGGCCTACGGCCCAGGCAGGTCGACGAACGATGCCTATGGCCTTAACGCAGGCCTTTCATCGCTGGCCGCACACTTTCGACGTGGGCTGTAAGTGATGCAGGGTGACCTGTGTGATACACACACACACACACACACACACACACACACACACACACACACACACACACACACACACACACAAAGAGAGAGAGCGAGAGAGCGCGCGCGCGCGCGCGCGAGAGAGAGAGAGAGAGAGAGAGAGAGAGAGAGAGCTGTCTCTTATACACATCTAGATGTGTATAAGAGACAGCCTCCGATCCCGCCCATCTGATCTCCACGTGCCTACCTCTCCTCCGGTCCCAACGTGCCTCTCGCTCCTCCGATCCCAACGTACCTCTCGCTTCT